AGGGAGTGTAAAATAATGATAACACTGGATTAACTAAAGGGGGAAAGGTGGCTAAAAGGAGTGATCAGAGCGATATTACTTAGTCGAATAGCAGAACGTCTATACTAGAATCACCTGGGTGTTTGTAACAATACAGATTCCACCGGTCACTCCCACCCACCACTCCCCGTTCCGAATCTGCGGGTCTGGATTTACCTTTAGAGCAAGAATCTTCTCTCGTGAGTGAGAGTCTTGAAATCCTGGAGGGAATGTCGGCAGCTGTGGGCCCTGGAGAGCCATGTTAAGCTGAGGGAGCATGAGGACGTGATGCAGAAGGAGCTTCAGGACGGGCATAGGCTGGGGGTTTGCAACATAGATTGAGGAGAGCAGGTTCTCAGAGGCAAGGACGAGATGCTGGGAGCGCGCCAAGGTGTTTAGGGAAGGGGGTGGCGAGCTTGCTCCATGCTGGCAGCGCCGGAAGTGGAGAATCAGCACGTGGAGAGATGAAACGACCAGGCTTGGTGACAGATCGAACATGAGCCACGATGGCAGGAAGGGAGTTCCAGACGACAGCCGTGTGTGCGGGACCGTAGGGAATGGCAGGTCCCCTGGTGTGCATGCTCCTTCTTGCCTAAGGAGTTCTGTTTCACCGAGGTGACCGAGGGGTGTGGGGGGCGTCCTGGTGAAGGTGCCGATTGCAACATGGGCTTGAGCATGACCGAAGGTCCGGGAGGAAGAGGGAGATGCTGGGGAGTCCAAAGCATGAGGGGAGAGGAAGGAAGGAAGCCTGGAAAGCTGAGCTCAGGCTCTTGGGGAGCAACAACATTAGACAGGAGGAGGAGCTGAAGCGAGGAAGAAGCAGAGAAGAAACAGAGAGAGGATTAAAGATTAAATAGTAAAGAGAAGCCAGAGGAAGAGGAAGGTTTAAGAAGGGGAGTGTCCATTACGTCAGATGTTCTAGAATTTGAGAAGGACAACGACGACCTTCCAATTTGGCAGACAGTCTTAGATGAAAACTAATTTTAAAAAGGGAAAATCTGTAATACTCTCTGAGGTGTGTGATGTGATCTAACATATTAGGAGTAAATGGAAATTGATGATGAATTGTGATTACAATTAATGAGCAAAAATATACTCCTGACAAACTGGTTCCCCAAAAGATGCCCTTCTGTTGGAGAGCTGGGAAACTGGGGGAGTAGGAGGCAGGGAGGGTGAGGGGCTAGGGTTAGAAGGAGAAACAGATTAGGATGCCTGGGCAAAGAGAAACTTATCAGGAAATCCTAATGTGTACGTACTTTAATGATCTTGCTTACCAAATAAGATTGCATTCGTTATTTGAAAAGGTTCCATTCTTGCCCCTTGGTTATGGTGCCCTCTGAGGCAAACATGCGGTGTCATGTGGAATGGAACCAGATATCCACGGCTCTGTTTTTATGCTATCTTGAAATATGGCTTAAAACACATCCTGCCTCTATTTCTTCCTTGTTGGCCTGGGCTGGGAGGTAGGGGCAGATCTTTTAAATGTAAAACAAAGTGCTGAATATGCGGGAGTGTAGAATGCTGTAGTGCGGGCTGATCTGGCAGGGCAGCCCCGTTTGGTATCCTAATTACAGTGCCCCACCTGTGGGTAGATATCCATCAGGATGTAATTGCTCTAGGTGTTTCAAGGTTTTTAAATTACTTGAGAACTCCCAAGGTTTTCTGTTCTTCATCACATTCTGTATACTTGGTGACGTTAGGTGTTCAGTCCTCGAGAGTCTTTTTCTATCAACAAAGATATGTGCTTTGGAATAGTAAAGTAGAATCATCAGGTAAAATCATAAAATTTCTCCCATTTTATAATTATCTGAAAGGAAAACAAAGGAGAGGAAAGGAAAAAGAATGGCTTAACAGTGACATGAGGGTTATTATTATTATTATTATTATTTTTAATCCAAACTGTAATGTAGGAGACCAATGTTCAGGGGACATCCTATTATTGGAGGTTTATCCATTGCACTCGAACAAGTAAAATGAAGCGGCTGGGTGAGATCCATAGACCGTTTCCCAAACTATAAACTGGGATATAACCTGACAAGGGATTGTTTTTCTTCTGAGTTGTGAATATTTCCTTGAGTCAGATTTTTTTAAAATATATCTTTATTGATTTCAGAGAGAGGAAGGGAGAGGGAGAGATAGAAACATCAATGATGAGAGTCATTGATCGGCCGCCTCCTGCACGCCCCCGACTGGGGATCGAGCCCGCAACCCGGGCATGTGCCCTGACCGGGAATCGAACCGTGATCACCTGGATCCTAGGTTGATGCTCAACCGCTAAGGCACGCCTGGCCGGGCTTGTGTCAGATTCTTAAAAACTCCTGAGAGTCTCTAAGTCCTTACATAACTGTTGGGTAATAAAATGGATTTCTGTTCACCACCCAGTTATTTCTGTCTTTGGACTTCATTTAATCATCAATTCATCCTTAAACGGACTTGCCAAGTCGCTTAAGCCGAGTGCTTCACGAGGGCATGAGTCTGGCTGTACTCTGGTTTTCTGTGAATGCTCAGCTGTTGCTGTGGTCCTGCTTGATGTCATGGCTCATAGAAATGGATTGGTATGAAGGCCTGTATTTCCTTCTGACAATCATTTCAGAATGATTTATAAAAAGCAAAGAAACCTCTTACTCAGTGACTCTGTTTGCTAAGTATGATCTTAAAGTAACCTTTTAGTTACTTTAGTTCCTTCTAGAAATTGTATCCTCTGTCAGCGCTATCCTTCATCAGCCTTGTCTTATGGCATGCTTTCATAGATACAAAGATTGTGATTTTAAAACAATAACTGTTGAGCTATAAAATATGTCAATTGTAGGATTTATTTTTAGCATTCCAATAGGGTTTACATGTCATTACCTCCATAATATTCATTTTTAAGTGTCATGTAAGCCATTTCTTAAATTATAAAAGTGGTAAATATTTAAAGTTTTTTTTTTTTTCACATATTGTAAAAGGGTATAGAGTAAAATGAGGAAATTTTTCCCTGTTTTCTGGCTTCCAATACCACTCTCCCAAAGCAATTACTGTTCACAATGTCTTAAGGCTCTTTGTATGACTTTTCTAAGAAGATACAGTTTTACATATATGTGTGCGTGGACACTCATTTTTATACAAATTGTCATGCTATGCATACTTTTCTGCATCTTGTGTGTGTGTGTTTTTAATTCACTTAAAATGACTGTCATATCAGCATGATTCAGTTGGCTTCATTTTAACAACTGTGTGGCATTTCATCACATGTGTGTACCATAATTGACTGATGAGCATTTAAGTAATTTCCGGGACATATCTGGTTGTTGTTGAAGTGCTATGGTTCTCATAACAATGTGCATTCTTAGAAGTGGACTTACTGAGTCAAGGAGCTTTTGTCTCAAATTTGATGAGCTGTTTCTAAATTATCACTCACCAATTTATACTTCCACCAATGTTGTCTGAGAGTGTTTCCACATCCCCATCAACTGGTCTTCCTTTGAGATTTGAAATCTCTGCCCTTTTAGGAGTTGAAAATTGTTACTTCTTTTTACTATGTCTTTGTTGGGTTACTGTGTATTGAGCTTCTTTTTTTTTTTTTACATAAGACTAATAGCTATTTGCATTTTTGTGTGAGTTTCCTATATCATGTTCTTTGATTATTTGTCTCTTGCCATGTCCATTTTATGAAAGGAAAAGAAACCATTCACTAGGATAGAGTACTGTTTAATAGATAACCACCAGCAGTTCACAGGAAACATAAATGTATATACTCTATACATGAACACTTGTACAAACACAGACTCTCTTGGAGGCCTGCAAGAAATCCTGAAAAAGAAAGTGCAACCACACATCCTGAGAAGAGAAAGAAAACAGTCTGACTAGGGACAGACGTGGGAATCTAGCCTCACTCTGTTAGTTTTCTAGCGCTGCATGAAAATGATTGGAAACTTAGCAGCTCAGCTCATAATTTCCTTGGGACAGGATTCCGGGCACAGCTTGACCAGCTTTTTGCACAGATCCCACAGACTGAAATCAAGCTATTGGCTGGCTGTGCTCAGTATTGTAAGTCACGTGGTTGTGACAGAATTCAGTTCCTCGCAACCATAGGACAAAAGTCGCTGTTTCCTTGTTGCTGTCGATCAGCTGGAGGCCACACTCAGCTCCTAGAGGGTGCCTGTGCTCCTGGCCACATGTTCCCCTCCCAAGCCAGCGCAGGAGAATTTCCCGTGTGTCAAATCCTGCTAATGCTTCCACTCTCTCTGATGTCTAGACCCAGACCTAGAGAGTTCATGGGGCTAGGACAGGCCCACCGGGGCACTCTACCAGTATAATGTTGACCAATTTGGAACCAATCAGAAGGGCAAAATCCCTTCACAGCGGCACCTAATTTAGTGTTTGATTGACTGGCTGGATATGTACACAGGGGGCCAGGAATCTTGTGGGCCATCTTAGAATTGTGCCCACCTCACTCCTGACATGCTTTCCTCAAGGGAAGGATGCAGAGCTCAAGCCATCTGGCTGAGGGCATCAATCCCCCGGAAACGTCGAGTGCCAGAGGAAGGGGGCATGACTGGCATCTATCTAACCCATGTGGGTCAAAGAACCAAGAGAACAATGAAACAGCAGAAAAATAGAGAGAAAATCTAGGAACCACACAGACAATGTAGGGATCAGCCAGACCTTCCTGACCAAGGATCCAAACCAGGCATTTCTAACTCCACCATCTGCCCTTGTGACCGCCCTCCCCCCCCCCATGGCCCACCAGAGGACAGGTCACTCACTGGCTGCATGCTTGGATTTTGAATCTTCTAACCTTTCCATTTCTTCCAACATCAGGGTGATTAGAGTCTGGTTTTGTGAGCTCTTGGCCTTAGGTGTTCAATAGAGCAGAATGAGCTAAGTAAGTGAGCCACTAAGGGGAACTGTTGATGAGCATAATTCTAAAAGAATCCTAAAAAATCGCTCTCCCCTCCCTCTCTCTCTCTTTCCTCTTCCCACCTGCTTCTGTGATTCAGGAGCATTATACGTGACTTGCTTGAGACTGAAGAGGTTTATATAAAAGAAATGAAGAGCATAATTGATGTAAGTAGATTGGGGAGGGGGGACATTAAACATGTATCCAAACTGAAGAAATTTTGTTGCACAAAGAGAATCAAAATAGTTGCCCTAGCATTCCCCCCAGGGTTTCAGGTTTCACAATATCACACATGTCTTTTCTGAAGAAATAGCACATTCTCATGACTATTGATCCGTGCAACTAAGTAGCTTCCAAAGGACTGTGCCACTTCATACTGATTCTGGTAATGCTCAACTAGGTTTACCATATGCTTGCCAACAATAGATATGATCATTGAAATGATTTTGATCATTTAATACGGGAGAATTGTTTCTCATTGTTTTAAGTAGCACTTTTTGCTTATCAGTGAAAATATGTATTTTCCCTATTTTCCTAAGGGCATAACCTTGAGGAATAAATTATATGTACAAAATTATAATCAAATTTTTTTTTTACCACAAAACATCAGAAAACCAAATATCCAATTACAATGAGAATGGTTAATAAAGTCTGATATACATACTAGATGAAATATTATTCAACTGTTACAAAATAATTATTTTGAATAATTTGGAGCAACATTGAAAAATGCTTATAAGATTAAATTTAAAACAATATATGTAGAAATTTACAAGTAGATTCTAAAATGTATATGGCAAAACAATACAAATTATTTATGTGCTGTGGTTATAATCCTATAAAATAAGTTTCCTAAAAGTCATGAAGGAAATCTAATAAAACAATAGTAATTGCAACAGGTCATAAAGTGATGAGTAAGTGATGAGTAAGTTTTTTCCATTCATACTTACTCTGCATAACATAAACATTAAAAAATATATTTGTCCTTCCTATAAAAAATTCCTCTTTATTATCATTCTCAATACACCATCTTCTTCTTAAGATGGACAGGTGAGAATAATATCAAAAGAATTTGATGGGAAAAAAGGGGGACATCTAGAATACTTTCAACAATAAAGATACATTTAAAAAATAATAATTTGATGAAATGGCTTTCAGGAAATGTAGGTTCCACATTCCCCAATTATTTTATTAAAGTTTTATTCCCTGGAGTAGCTAATTCAGATCATCTCTCACATGCTCCTTTCTGTAAAACCCACCTGTTTGCACCTCTGCAGGGATACATCACTCCAATGGATTTTATTTGGCTGAAGCATCTGATTCCAGACGTTCTTCAGAACAACAAGGACTTTCTCTTTGGGAATATTAGAGAACTTTATGAATTTCACAACAGGTATATAGTAATTCAAATTATTTGGAAAAATAAAAGTAAGAGAAGGCTGGAAATCAGACTGATGGAATTTGGCGATGAAAGTGCTTAATTATTTTCGGGCTTAAACAAATAGTCCAGAGTCGGTAGATTGGATGGGATATGAAGGAGGGGAGAAGGGCCACACGATCCCTGGGGCAGAAGGGAAAGACATGAGTGGAGCCTGTCCTTGCTTGGTCAGGCATCGATGTTGCATGTGTGCGTGTTCTTCTGCTTATTTCTCAGCTTATGCATCAGCATTTACTGAGCACCTGGCGGGTGTCAGGCACTGTGTTCGGCGCAGGGGGTACAGAGATGACCAGGACTCTCATTCACATGCCTGTTGTCATGGGGAGTGCTGGGGACTAGGGCGCAAAGAAATGCTAACCGGTCCAGCGAGCTGTCCTTTTAGCCCAGGGCGGGTTGGGTGCTTGAGTTCTAGAGAAACAGAGGACCAGGGGACTTTGGAAACCATCTTCCAACCCTTGCATTTTACAGATGAGGAAACCTCACTTTACTCACTATAATGACCCCCCAAAATCACACATCTAATTGCCGGAAGGGAAAAGAACCTCGGCTGTTTCCTAACCACATCTCATGTCTGTTGGCCTGTTGTCCAAACTGAAATGGAAATCTCATTTCTGCCACTTTCCCTGGAGAAGTTATGCAGCCTCTTTGAGCCACAGGTTTATGAAAGCCTATCTCTCAAGGTTTGCTGGAGGATTAGGTGAGAGATTGCTTGTGAAGCACTTGGCTTATGCCTGGCTTACAGTAAGCCCTCAGTGATGGCAGCACTGCTGCAGCAACAGCAGCAGTTCTCATTAGCATCATTATCGGGTGGCGGGAGCCATCGGGGCATCCAGTCTCTCAGAGGCTGGTGCTCAGAATTAGCAGAGCGGCTGTGGATGTTTCAGGGCGTGTTCACAATGTCACAGAACATACTTTTTTCTTCCAAGTCAGCGTGTTAAAGGTGAGTCAAGAGCAGTCAAGTCTGGAAAACAACATTTTTCTAGGCACCTCTGAAAATCTTATATGATTTTACTTTAAAAAAAAGTTTAATGCATGTAAAAATCATTTTATAAAAGCATTATTATACTTTTCTTTCCCTAGGACTTTTCTAAAAGAATTGGAAAAGTGCACTGAAAATCCTGAACTTCTGGCTCGTTGCTTTCTCAAGAGAGTAAGTCTGTGTTCCCCAAAATCCAAAATAACCATGTGATTTGAGCCAGCCCTTAATTTTCTGTGTAAGTGGCTAGGGCTGAGGAAATGCCAATGGTCTGAAAACACATCTGCCTTTTGAATGCAAAGCAGGAGTCCCTGGCAGGCCTGCAGGCGGTGTGAGACAAGGCCAGTCTGACTGAGCTCACACTGATAGGTGGGAGCCACTTATAGGCCTGGCTTCTGGCAAAGCCCAAGGAAATGAAAGTCTGGCCCCCAGGCAGCCCAAAGCAGGTGATCCTGAATGGCCCGGAATGACTAACCTAACTCTTTTAGGACCAGAATCACACTTACATTCCTCACTCATTGTATCACTATGCTCAAGAGAAGTAGTACTGATGTGAAACTAAAAATCCCTGAAAATGTCTTGACTTCCATTTTACCTTTTACAGCATAGAAGGGGGTTAGAAAATGTTAAATCTACAGCCTCTCTGATGTTTAGCACCCAATCTGTTGATTTCCTGTCCTGTAACAACGTACCTCTGACTACTTCCCCTTCCCTCTCCGACTTCTCCACCCCTGCTTTGGGCAATAAATAGGCTGTTTGGGAGGGTGGTGCTCCCTGGGCCCTGACACAGAGAAGTGCTCTCCTTCCCACAGCAGGACTGTGCAGATGATCCCCGCACCCTCTTCTTCCTAAACCTTTCCCGTTTCTTCCCTTTCCCAGCCAGCGCTTCCTTTCATTCTGTTCCTTGGTTTTGTTATTTTTGTGTGAACCTGAGACAACAGATCAAGCAACTTCCAAATTTTTAAACAACCCAAATTATGGCTGATAAGTTTAAGAGCAGAACTTGTGATAAACTGAAAGCAAGCAAACAAAAATCCCTAGGTTTCAAGGTATTTGACAGAATGGAAAAACGGAGCTTTCAACCCTAGGGCTCCTGACCAGCTTAGAGGGCCCCTTCCCTGGCCCTGTCTGGGTTTTCCAAACACAGCCCCATCACAGGTTTTTCATCAAGAGCTGGAATTCAAGATAGTACATGAAAAACTATTTTGTATTCAATCTGATTAATATCCTTTTTTGAATTATTTTTACAGCATTATTAGTATTTTTTAGTACTTTGCAATTTTGCGCTCATCAAAGCACCAATGTAAAACCCAGTTTCATAGTTTAGAAATATTTTATAAATGCTTATGTCATTATTGCAAAGACATTTACATTTTTGAATAAGAAAAGGACCTAATTCCTGTGGGGGGAAAAATATGGATGTCATCAAATAAAAATTGTCCAAGCATGAGGAAATGGTTAGAGACTTGCCAACTAACCACCTTTTCTTGGAAGAATTCATCTCCTGCAGTTATGCAAAGATTTTTACAGTCCCCAGTGCTGGGAAACACCTTAGAAATCATTAACCCAGGCCACAAACTGCTTATAATCCTATATGGTTTATGATATTGGAGACAAAATACAGGTAATAAAGTCTTATCTTAAAATGGGAATTATCTAATCTTTCAGAATCCTTGAGGAAATTGGCTGCTGCTGTGCAAGGACCTGTACTTGTTAGCCAATGAGCTGGGCCTGCCATCCTTTATTTACTACAGCTGTTTACCTTTTCTCACTAGTATTTGCAGAATTCCACTAATCATAGATAGGAATTTTGAAATATTGCTCTGACCAAGTACTTTAATCAGATTCAGTAGCCTATTGCATCCAGGGAGATTCTGCCCCAGAGGCTGAGCTCTATGTAGAATAATATTTGTCAGTGGTTTACTTGGGGTTTCGTTTGCTCAATGGAAAGAGCACTGGGGTGGGACTCAGGAATCGGAATTTCTTATCTATATCGAGCTGCTATCCACATGACCTCAAGTAAGTCCCTTAAACCTTCGGAGTCCCACTTTCTTCCTCCATACAACAGGCTTAATAATACCAACAGGTAACGTTGTTGTGGAGGTCAAATAAAATAATACATGCAAAGGATTCTACAAAGTAAAAATAGTGCTGCGACAATAGCTACTCTGCATGTATTGGCATTTGTTCAGAGGTTTCTATACATCATCTCATTTGATCTCACAACAACCATAAGAGTTGACTGCTGTTGTAAGTCCACTTAACAGATGAGAAAACTGACGTGCAGGATGGTTAAAAACTGACCTCAGGCCATATAGTTTGTAACAGACAAAGCCAAGAACTGAACCTGGACCACCCACCACCAAGAGCCCGCAGTCTTAATTCATAAGCCATCATGTTTCCCTGTGTGAATATGAGTTTTTGGTAGCAATATTTTTAGCCCCCTGATTTATTCTATAAGGAGGTGAGGGTATCAGCACTTTCACATGCTGCTGGTTAGTGCACATCCTTTCTCTAACGAATTTTGGGCTGAAGAGCAAATTGAGGTCAATAGTTACTGTAGCTCAATAGTTGTATTTCGGTACTTGAAGGCCTATAATGTTCTATGTTGCTCAAAGTGCAGACACATAACCAAAGGTTTCAGGAAGGCAGGTTTCAGCTCAGCATCCTCTGAGGGAACCAGGTCCGTCTCTGTTACTGGGAGAGTTTGGGGAAAGGTGGCTGACTGTTGAGGATTTTTCATTGGGTGGGAAGCTGCATCTCCAAAATCTCCTTCAGCTACTGGGAATCTCCTGGTGGTGAGTGTTGAAAGCAGTGAAACCATGAATTCTTTTAGGAGCTAAAGGCCTATGTCTTTGTGCTCTGACACAATTTGTAATGTTTTATAAGCCTGGCTTCAGGATGGCAGAAATCTTTCCTATGTCTAGGCTACTATGCTTTGGGAGCCACTGAGTTGAACAAATGTACTTTGCATAGGGCCAGAACATCAAAAGCACTCAATAGATAGTTTTTGAGTGAATGCATAATGGGTGTGTTGTTGTTAGGATGTGAATTATTATTCTAGTTCCCTAACCAGTCTGAACGACATTTCTCAAGGGCCACCTCTCTTTCTAATGTGCGTGTGTGTGTGTGTGTGTGTGTGTGTGTGTGTGGAGAGAGTACAAAAGACAGAGTTGCTATAGTTCTTGTAGTGAAATGACCACTGACAATCCATCGGGAGAGGGGAAGAGGTACAGAAATGGAGCTCACCATAGCAGGGTGCTTAGCAGTAAACTAGACAGAGCTGACACTGTGAGGGGAAAAGAGCCCATGTCGGCATGAAGGACATCAAGAATTGGCCTTTAGGGGGAAGTGGGGACCCAGAAACCTGAAAGGAAGTGACCCCGTGGGCCTCTCTGCCAGAGCCTCCCAGGCTCTGTGGCAAGCCCAGCGCCCGCGGACTAGGTTCTCCTGGCGGAGCAGACAAATCTGCAGCTGGCTTCATGGGCTTAGGGTGTCCTTTCTATCGGGGATATTGGCAGATGCATGTCCCCCTCACAGCCTCAAGGTCACACAGGCACTTGGAACCGCTGTTGATCTCCGGCTCTGAGACAGCCGCGTACCCTTTTTTCCTGGGGATCCTGTGCCGCGGGTCGAAGCTGATGCCCGAGGCAGAGCCCGCCACCGTGGGGCTTGCCCACACGGTTTAGATCTGTGTGTATGCTTTTGTCTAAACTGCCACATTTTTCTGCTGGGGTGTTTCTCTGTTTCTCTTAGTTTTTTCCCCCCCTAGAATTGGTGTCATGGTAATGGTAATAAGGAGAGGGTGTTCGTTTTCTCACTCAGTAAACAACTATTTGGGAGGGAATAACAATTTTGGGGAGACATTAGTGTCCTGAGTAAAGAGCAGAGGAGGAACAGTACAGATCAAAACCGGCTCCTGTCTGTGGACGTCCTGTAGTTGCTCCCACGGCTCTTTGTTTAGATCTGGATTTAGTACTTACGGTGTTTATAGCCCCTTTCCCGCCCTGTCACGCGCTCACTCCAGGGGAGGCCACTGATTGTGCCTCCCCAGTTTCTCACATTGAAACACTCGGCTTGTTGAATGAGTGAATAAACTGTATTATCCTACTCAGCTACTGAGAACTACTGCCTGATTGATTTGTTCGGATTTCGTCCCACTCAGAGAGAAGATCTTCAGATGTATTTTGAATACCATAAGAATCTGCCCCGAGCCAGGGCAATCTGGGGAGAATGTCAAGACTGCGCCTACCTTGGGGTAATGTTGAGGTTACAAGGTCTCCCACAAATTGTTTTCCCTGGACAAGTTTTGTGCATCAGATTTTTAAAGCTATCCAAAGTGTAAACGAAGCGGAGGAGTTTGGCGTTGGGAGTTATGTTTATTAAAAGCCTCTCCTATTTTGAAATCACACAATAGAAGTTTCTACGCTGCCCTGAGTCACTGTGGGGTAGGCCTGTGAGGAGCAGCTGTAGCCTGGTGCAAAAACCGGAGTCCTCTTCTAAGATGGGCTTTAAATGGAGTTAAGTCCAAAGGATGAAACACTGGGGCTCCCTGGAATGATATCAATAAGCCACCATGCACCCTCCAGACTCAAAATGACCTAAATAGACCCCACCCCGCCCGAACTCAAAGACAGGTTGCCTCCTATGCAGAAGGATCTGAAATGCCCAGTGTCTTCCAGTGGGCTTGCCTTCTAAAATAAATAAATGGCCCTGCTTCCCCAGCTGCCTATAAAAATACTAGCCAAGTTGTCCCCTTTCCCCTTCCTTTCATTTCACACGCTCTCCCTGAAGGACCGAACAACTCCGTAACGTTAGGAAACTGGGCGACACAGCTGCCCCTCTTATCCGTGAAGAGCCCATTTCATTTCTTGTATTTAAATACCACCACTTTTGTTCTCTGTGTGTGTTGTTTGTTTTGTTTGATGTCGTTTCTGTTTGTTTTTTAAAGGTATGCCAGCGCCAATTGGGCCACAATCTCCCTCTTTTTAAATATCTTAGAGGACCAAGCCAGAGACTCATAAAATACCAGATGTTGTTGAAGGTAAAGTCAATGAGACAGTGCTTTTCTGTGCTGGGAAAACAGATGAATGCACTAAAGTGCCCTCTCCCCTAGACATGCAGAATTGTGATTTCTGTCTTCCAAGGTGAAAATAGCTATCCTTTCCATTTTTTCTGCCCTCCAAGTCTAAAGCTGCCCTTCTCAATGAGATGTAAGACCAAGGAGTCATAGAATTGAAAGGGACCTGGGAGCCCGGCTAGTCCAACATGCAGTCAAGGCCTGAATCTCTAGGGAGCCTGGCTCAAGGGAGGAGAGGTCCTCGGGGGCCAAGTGAGGAAAGGGCTGTGGCCATACTGCCAGCAACTGAGAGGGTGGGAGGCAGCTGGGCCTCTACTCCCTTGTAAGATATCTCCAGGTAAAGTATTATCTGCTCCATTTTACAGATGAGGCAAAATCACATTTCAGAAAAGAGGTGTGATTTTCCCTAACGTCACTATTTTACTTGTGTTAAGACAGCGGAAGGGAGAGGGCAAAGCTGGAGTCTTTTCTCCTTTTGCAGCATCTGCCTCCACCTTTAGATTAAGCATCTTTCTCAAGAGCATTACAACAGAATGAACTGTGCTTTGCAGAACCCCTAGCTGGTTCTTTCTCTCTCTGAGAGTAGCACACCTGCAGGAGAGCACCTCCAGACACCCCAACAGGACTGAGGCTCTGTGAGGCTGCCTCCCCACGTGTAAGCTGGGGGAAAGGTTTGAGCCACTTCTCCCAGCTGTGTTTTAAATTAACTTTTATATGCAGCTCTTGCCCAGTAGCTACTATCTCTTAATTAAAAATGAGCCGCTGCTGTTTACTGGTAGCTTCCCAGGAATATTTTTTTACTTAATCCCACAAGCAGAGGTGTCAGACAGGCTCTGGAGTATGAAGAAACCAAGGCTCGTGGAGGTTAAGCTCATGGCCCAATATTCTGTCCTCAGGAGAAGTTAGCCCTCCCATCTTTGCCTCGGCCGCCCCAGCCTGGGTTGCACTGGCTCTGCTACCAGCTGCGGGATTACTGGACCTCTTAGGCCCAGGTTTCCTCCTATGTAAAATGAGGATACCAGGGCCACCTGCTTGCAGGAGGAAGCAGTGAGTAATGTGCAGAGAGCTCGCTCGGCGCTCACCCCCAGGGAGCTGCTGTTTTATACATGGAGACGCCAGGCCAGTGTGGGAGTGATTATGGCTCACTGCTTCCCAGAATGAGTGGCATCTGTGAGCATGTTCTGACACAGCATTCACATGTTCTGATACTCATTTGCCTCTGACTGTCCCATCCTTATGGTCACAAAAGTCCTCCCACTGGGCCCAGGGAGGAGGGGCCGGGACCTAAGTGGAGGTCACTCCCTGGCCTGGCTGCATCAGGCACTGAGGGTTTGAGCTTTGCCTTTGCAGAGATGTTGACACAAGAGCTAAGTTCCATTTGCAGAGGACTGTAGGGCACAGTGATTAGAAACAGAGTTAGCTATCCTGGGTGTGGACCCCGACTCTGACAGCTATTCAAACTCAGGGTTACGTAACCACTCCCAGCCTCAGGTCCCTCACCTGGAAAACGAAGGCAGTAATAATACTTTCCTGGTATGTTTTTTGGGCGCATTATGAGGTAATACATGTTTAAAATACTTAGAAGATTTTGTTAGCTTGACTGAGGAAACAGGAGACAGAATCACTAAAAAATATTCCTTGGGAGTTGTGCAAAACCTTGGGAGGCCCCTTAGGGTCGACCAGTTTTTCCCATAGAGAAGCTCGCTGGGTGCCTGGGAACACAGCTTTAAAACCCGGCACACCGTGGAGAAAGGAAGACTTTGTGGTTTTCTCCGCCCTGAGGAACAAGCTCATTCTACAGCATGGATGTTGGACCGATTGCCTCATGGTTTAGAGAGGATTGTAGAATCCTGGTGTGGGAGGGCTTTTCTAAGTATAAAAGAAAGGGGGAGGAATGATAGATTATACCATTAAAAGCAGACACATGAAAAATTGGGGGAAATATATGAACAAGGTATGTGAGCAATGTTCAGCATGCTCATTAATGAGCTCACAAGAAATAATGGAAAAACAAAAAAGAGCGATCTATAAACTGCTTACTATCTTATCTGAGATATTATAAAAATTAATTGTCATGACCAAGAGTTGTTTTAGTACATAATGTCTGTTGAGTCAAGGCACATTAATTAAACAATATTAACATATTATTATAAGCATATATTAGAAAGAGGTGGATTTAGGGACAACAAGAACTCACTTTCACTGAGCTCATGATTTCTATCAAACAGGTTAAGTGGTGGATGGAAGCCAGCAATTTTTTTTTTTTTAAACCTCACCTGAGGACATTTTTTTCCTGTTGATTCCAGAGAGAGAGGAAGGGAGAGAGGGAGGGAGGG